AAAATTGTAAGTTGTCTTATTGTAAGTTGGATATTGTATTTAGATAATTTGTTAAATAGCTTGATGTGGTTCCTAACTGAAATGTTTTCATATTTCTTAACTGATGAAATATTGATGTTACAATAGATATCATACTGTTTTCCGGTTTATTAGTTTAAACTATAAATTTAAAAAATATATATTTTTCGTCCAATTTTTGTTTTGCAACGAAGACTACTATGCGATGTCTAGATTTTTCTACAATGGGATTCCAATGTCTCCGTTATTAGACAACATAAAGTTGTCTATTTCTTTCATAAAGTTGTTTTTCAGTTCGCTGTACTTGACTTTAGCGTTGTCCTCCAAAAATTTGTTTGTCATGATCAAATATAAAGGTTCACAATTTGGTCGGTAGGCATTCTCTAAACGTTTTGAGATATTCTTCATGTCGTATTCGATATTCAGTATTCGATTTCCTTGGACAATTTCGTTGTCCATTGTTTCATTTTGAGAATGAAAATAATTTTTGAAGTCTTGCATAATATAAAAAATGTTTATGCCGTAGTTAATTTGTGGGGATAACTGATATATATGCGAAATCGCGTTTTGCATACGGGAGATTAACGGTTCGCTCATCATTACTGTACTCACGAACTGTGTCTGGAGATCCGATGAACCGGGCAAATGCGTGCTTTTATTATATTGTTTCCATATGAGTCTCACGTAGTCAATACATCTCTTTAACATTAAAGCATAATGACAGTTCAAAAAATGATGCGTGTGCTGAACTTTTTCGTCTACATTTGCTTTGGTGACAATTTTTCCATTGGACCTAGCTGAAATAAATTCCGGGAAGGTTACGATACGATTCGGCGTTAAAATTTCCAAATCTTTCAACTTCACCCATTCAGGGCTTTCAAGTAGCTTGTTCATTTCTTCTACACGTTGTATCAAGTCCGGATCATACATTAAAATGGTCTTTTTCAAATCAAAATTATATCTAAAACCGAACCTCCCGTCAAAAAATTCAACAAAATATTTAATTGTTTCCTTTATTTTATTTTTCATGTGACGCTCCACGTCATCAAGACTACAGTTTTTATGAATACTTTCAACGTGAAATACATGTCTGGATACCTCGCCAACTTCTACTTGCCAACAAAAATTATCATAGAATGCATTCAATTGATCTAAGGTCTCCGACATTAGTTTTTCGACACTTGCAGTCTCCGTAGCTACGGTAGAGATAATATGTTCGTTACCTCCGGCAACGATTGACCTCTTGTCAAATGATATATTTTTGTAATAATCAATTAAAGCCTCTAGGATTACGAACAATTGCTCTTTGAAGGGAGTTTTTGGCGATAAGTCGTGAAAACACAAAAGCGAACCTCTCATACACATGACTAATGATTCTGACATTTCGAGCATTTCCAGTGATGTTCTCAAACAATTCAAAGCTTTAGACGGATTATCCATTTTCCTACACGCAGGGCATATACCCATCTCGTAGTAACAGAATTCCTTCAATACCAAGGCATACTTACAGGTTAAAAACTGGTGTGCTTGTTGCATTTTATGTTCTACATTATCGTTGGTGACTATCTGTCCATTATCACTTGGTGCGAGTAGTTCTTTTGCATCGATTATTTTGTTTCCCATACTGTGGTCGATTATCCGCACATAGTCTATACCTCTTTTTTCGGGCCATTCAAGCCATCCGACATGGGTAAACATATCGTTCATCACATTAACGCGATGGTCAGGTTCTGCATTCAACAGATACATTTGCATGTAAACAATAAAAAACGAGATGAAACCAGTGGCTTGCATTTTATATCGAATTTTAAATGTAACGAACTGAACTAATTTTTTATGTATAAAACTTTAGAAGTCAATCAAGATAGGTTTTTATTGCGCGTGTACGTATGAAATACTGTGTTCGCCAAAATAAGCGAACGTGTCAACGATGCGAATGGTTTATTTACTTATAATTTTTTAGCATCGGCATGTATTTTAGTGCTAAATGTATACATGGTGATTATTTTATCATGAACTATAAAGTGTAAATTATTAGACCAAGTCTTCCCTACAAATGAACTATTAGATTAAAAAACGTATTTTCTGTGTTAGTAAATTGCAGTTGGATAGTTTTTGATTATTATATGTTACTTAAATAAATTGAATAATTATAAGACAATACCTATCATTAAAATGTATTAATATTTTATATACAACATAATATTACTTAATTACATAATTTCATTATTAATTATAAAAATTATTAAATTTTTTAATCACGAACAATCTACATCATGGTAGTCAGAAAAACAACTTTTCTTATCATTGCAACATAAAAATACATTGCAATGAGAACATTTGGAATATGGTCTCGACTGAATTCCATTGATAGCGCAAACTTCACGACGTCCTCGGTTAGAAACAAATTTTGGGCAATGGATTCCGCGATTGGTCAATCGGATGTCTTTTGGCACAGACCATTGTTTCTCTCTTCTTTTTTTTTTGTCGCCGGATCCTTATTTTTTGGTGTTTTCCTTTTATTTGACGAACGAAGTTCTCGTAAAGTTATAAGCCCTTGTACGACTGAACGTCGAAAATCCAACAAGGAAATATTTCCATGTATTTGTTTGCATATTATGTATGAGTTCACAAACATAATGTCTAACAAACCCCAACAAATTCGGTGCACCATTTCTTTGACTTTCTATCAACTCCGTAAGTCATTCTAAGTTGGTCAGCATGGTCTACACCACCCATATAGCAATTAGTACGACTTGTGGGCATTGAATATCTTTTTCACGACCAAATTTATCTTTTCTAGTAACTGTTGTTAATTCTGAACCGTGATAGTTTGATGCCAACATGACATATTCAGTATCTTTCCATTTGTAAATACCAATGTATTGGTATACACCATACTTTGTAGCCACGTTTTGTGGGTTTTAGAGGATTATATTGTTTCATGCTATTGCAAGATATTGTCGAATCGATTACGACTCATTGTGTTAGACACACAAGAAACATTTAGATCACTAGATGTTGCCCAATAATGTTTCCAACTTGTAAGTTTGTGGTAACCCATCAAAAAATGTATTCCTATGAAGTTCAGTATCTCATGACGTTTAACATTCAAAACACGCCCTCTTTGAGTACTGTATAAATTGATTGGTACACAATTTGATCTAGAATACCATCAATAAATTCCAAAAAAAAATGAGGTTGCAGTTTCCCCCGTAAATTTTCCATCAACAGGACCATCTGCGAGAGAATAACATGGATCTAATGTTTTTGCAGTAATCTTTTTCCATTTACGACGAATTTCAGGGGAGATATTTCCTTTTTTTTCTTTGAATTATTTTTACGTTTTTTAGAAGAGGCGAACCGACATAATTTGAAGGGCCAGAAATATTTTCTAAGTTTAGAGCTGGAGTAGAAGTAGTCACAGCTATTACCACAGGTTGTACTGGCTGTGTTACATTTGCAAAATTAATATCAGTATTATCCAAAATAAATTCAAAACTGTCTTCAACATTTTGAATTTCTAATTCACTAGGTTCTATATTATTATCTTCAGTAAAAATATTACTGTCCGGAAAAAGAAAATCTTTACCTCCCGTAATAATATTCGTATTTTAATCTTCTGATAATTCTTCGTCTGTAACTTCGTTACTATCCAATGGAAGATCTTCATTTATCCACTGTAATAGCAAGTTATTATTTGACATTTTTGAAGAATAAAATAGTTATCTGTTCAAACGACATAGACGCACACGACACGACAGTCGACGAGAAATTGAATACAGTCAATAAAAAAATTTCGCCGTAAAAGACCAACGGTACTTATGAGTCCATATATTAAATTATCAGTATTTCACTACATTAATGATAAACTCGACAATATAAAATTAGATAGTATATCTAGACATATATTCGAATATAACCAGCAGTTTTCATATATATATATATATATATATAGTGGACTAGAAAGACCTTATTAATAACAAAACAAAACACCAACATATGTAGATTTTCTGAGTATTGATTATTGTTTTTTTTTTTGTCTATATATGAGAGTACTTTGTCTAAAGGCAAAAATTCCACACAAATTTGGAACTGATGTCGCGAATCTGTGTATTATTATTTATTTCAACATCTCCCTTCTTCTGGCAAAATCAAAATAAGACACTGATACTCTTTTAGAAATGGTATTTCTACCAGAAGGGATTCGGTAATAGTATGAAATAAATGTAATCGAACCACTAAAAGTGCTCTCATAAACTATTGTGTAAAGCCGGTATAGAACTCTAAAATAAATTTCACCAAACCCAACCCCTTAATTTTTTTTACGGTGACAAATCCGGGCTTTTTACAAAATCTGTTTGTTTTTTAAAACAAGTATAACTTTGTGAAAAAATATCGGATTATAGAGTAGCTCTATTGTAATTAATATCGAGTATATCTAAGTCATAGCGAACGAACAGATTGATAAAAATTCAAAATTGAAACGTTTACAATTTTCGTCTACAAATTTTGTTCCTTCTCGATTGTCGGAGGTCAATAATTGCGTGACGTGAAGGGATGGAGTTGAGAACTATAAAAGTATCGGAAAATATAGTAAAATATGAATATTCATACTATATCAGATGGAACACTCTGTATACGGTTAACTATGCCGAACAATTATTTAGGCCTTTCGACGTACCTATTATGTACGATTTCTTTCCAAGCCGTTTCATGTTTTTTATTATCATACTTTCACACTGCAATGAACGACGGATAAATATTGCAAACAAATATTTCAACGGTGCTCACAATCAACTGGGATACTATTATAGATCGTCTCGATATTGTCTTGAAAACATATAGTCGCATGAATATGTATTTTATTCGTGCAAACAAACGTATCCCGTACTTTGTGTTGTTCAATTGTAGTCAATCGTTGACTTTGGTTCTACAAGTACTGAAAACGGTGAGCGTTTTATTACAGAAGAATACAACAGTGTACGACAGTAAATATGATTACTATAAAAATTATTCTTTTACTTTATCTGGCAGCATACGTGGTGGCGTGAGTATTTTTTCTATTTATTTTTTAATAGCCTTTGAAAATATTATTGAACTCATTTTTATTTTAAATATAAACGTTGGACCTACAGGTGTAGTGGCAGTGATAAATCAGCAAAAAAAGGTAACTATACAACAAGAGGTAAAGTTATTTGGGTCAAAAAATATTGGTGACGTAGAGACAATAGGTTTTTTAGTAGTTATTATGACCGAGTTTGGAAATAATTATAGATGGTAATAACTAATAACTGTAATTAACAAGAGGAGGTCACAGTAAAGGAGTGACGGATTTTCTTCAAATTGCGAATAAATGTTATTTATGAAAAATAAAAAGACCCTTATTCGACTAAATTATACTAATTCTGTAGTAGTAAAATATAATTATCTTACAAGTTTTTAGACTTTTTGCAATATAAATTACCATAAAAGTTGAAAAAAAAGTTGTAAAAAAACGCAAAAAGTTTTGAATGGGGAAACAACCCCGGTCGGACATGAACCCGGTACCGCACTCTCCCTGGCACAGAACATGCCCATCCGCACAACAATTTGGTTTTTTCTGGCCCATTAGTAAAATAAGTCTATTTAAGATATATAAAAAGATATGTAAATTTCAAAGTTTTTAATAAGGGTCTTCTTATTTCTCATAAATGACATTTATTCGCAATTTGAAGAAAATCCGTTACTCCTACACTGTGACCTCCTATAGTAAGTATAATTATAAATTATACTTTACACGGTACACTATTGTGTTACATTATTATTTTCGGTGTTAAGTTATAAAATTAAAAATTGAAAAAATAAATTGCAGCGTCCTGTGTGCGGAGGGAATATATTAAATATTTTTTTTAAATACTAGTGCACTTAACATACAACCATATTCAACCATACGAATAAAGATTAAATTAACCATTTTTTTAATTAATAAATTTAATAAATTATTATATGTGATTATTTTCATTTGAAAATTATAATTTAAACTATTGTGAACTTATTCAATCATGACTAATTAAACTAATATCAACGATTAACATTTTCAATCATGAATATTTTAATCATAGTTATTCATAGATAAATAAGTACCTAGTTCATATAGAATAATAACATTAAATTTTACAAAAATTTTTATTTAAGTCACTTAAAACCTTATTCGTATGTACCTACCAAAAAGTTAATTTTTAACCATGACTAGTTTTATTCGTACGCAACAGTTAAATTTTTAATTGTGACAAATTAGATATTTTTATTATTAGATTAAAATATCCATGATTAAAAAGTCAACTTTATATATTAAACTTTTACAAAAAAAATTAGGCATGGCCACATAGGAAGTACATAGAATAATATCGAATGTTTTATCTCTAATCTCTAATAACCACCTCCAACGTTAAGCTGGACTTTCTCTAAACTCTAATCTCTGATCTCCCCCTCCTCACCTTCAGCAACCAGCTGGTTTACCTTAGCATTCAGCTCGACCATCTCTTATCTCTAATCCATCATATCTAATCTATTATCTCCAATCTTACATATCTATAAAAATATCTAAGATTTTTCGATTGATCCCAAGACCAAAAACATATCCATATCAACGGTAATTTTGAACACAAGTCAGTCGGGTAAATTGTAATTTTGGGTAAAAAAAAAATGTACTAAATTACCATGGAATTTTTTCTAAAGTATAAAGTCGTTAAATCATTGTCAAATATACAATAAAAGTATTTTAAGTAGCAAATAGTTCTTAGTATTGATTGTTGGCTACATCGTTTTTAGGATTATATTATTTACATTTCAGACAGTTCTAGAGGACTCAGTAAACCACTAAACGAAGATAGCGATGATAACACCGATTTTGAATGTGTACAGGTTGACTACACAGGTGGGGAGCTAAATATTTATATATCAGATCTTGAAGGCAGTGGATTGCTTTCATCCAAGTCTAGCGAGAAGAACGTCCCAAAGTTAAATTACCGTGGTGCTCCAGGAAGTTTCACAATTACTGTCGGTGATTTTACTTGGTTCGGTAAGTCTAACTCGGCCTTAGGGTCAAATTACTAACTTAGCATACATCACATTTAATTTATTGTAAACATTTCAGGACGTTCATCTCATGAAAAAGGTGGTATAGCCCTTGTCCTTCGAGGTGGTAAACTCTGGATCGACGGCAAAATAGTCGAAGGACTTAACACAAGTGTGAGAACAATAAGGCTAGAATGGGGTAAAGGTCAACTCATGGTCAACGGGAAAACACATGACAAATTCAAAGGAATAGAAGGAACAGGAATCTGTAATATTTTATGGCGTTCATGAAGCTATAATGAAATCTATAATGATAAAAAACTATTCAATGTATCTTTATTCAGAAATTATAAACTGATTATTTATAAAATAATAAAACTTGTAATTATATTAAAAAATATTAAAACAAAAGAATGTATTATATACCATATTTCATAGTTTATTTATGCAAATATTATGCTATAAAGTCTTAATATAACCACAAATAACATCAAATTTATAATTGAATCGATCATTAATTCAATAACGACATAGGTAGGTCACTGTTTATTTCTAAAAAATTGTATTGATAAATTTGATACTTTTATAATTTTATATTGTAGGTACAAGTCTATATTTTTAAAACACAAAATATATTTTATTTAGCTACTAAAAAATACTACAACTATTGATGCTTCCTAGCTTTTGGTTTTTGACTGTATTTTAATAATAACAACCTAATCAATGGTCGTGCGAATGAGTAATAAGAACCTGTAAACAAGTACAGGTCGAGACGTAAGTTCTTAAAAGCTTTTTGAATAAAACTCCTCGTTTTTCAGTCTTAATTTTTACTCGGGAGATCATTAAAAAAAAAAAAATGTAATACGGTCGATTACAAATAAAGTTATAGAGTATGGTAATGTTAAGTTGAATGATATGTACATTTTTTGGGCGTTTTTCCCTTGTACCTTACAGTGCTTAAGCAGATACCGTGGGTATAGGAACATGAAAAATAAAAAACACATCATTCTATTTTGATGTTCTTATAATATGTAGGTTTATATTTTGTGCATAAACACATTAATCATACATAAGGTATTGTAAGACTGCAACAATTTTTTTTACCATGACATTTATTTTTTGTAGAATATCCTATAGATATCTGTTATTACTTGTTTACGTTGCTACAGGCGTTGAAAACAACTATTCTGCTATAGACGTGCAAAAAAATTGAACATTTGGCTTAATAAGAAACTGCTATAAGTCACTTTTGTGCGGCCTTCGAATTTCAAACTGAACATTTTCGTATAATAGCGTGAAAATATATGTATATGTAAGCGTATAGTGTACTGTATTAAATATACATGGGGAATTTTTAAACTGAGAATAACTTGCTGGACATTTGGATATCCAGTTTTGAATGAACAGATTAAGAATTTTTAAAGTTTTAAAATTTAGGACGGCAGGAAGGGCCGAGAGTACAGTTATTTTTATATGCGCCCTTTACTTATCCGCACTCAACTTCCCCACACCCTTAACTTTAAACTTAAACAAATTTATAAAAAAAAACTATATAAAAGTGGTTATCAACCTGTGAAAACTTTCAGTAAATTAATTTCAATTTAAAAATTCAATTAAATATATACTGTGCAATTTTGTACCTAATGTAGTAAATCAGGGAGGTATTTTGTAATAAATTGATTACATTGCCACAAGCATCGTAAAATTTGCTGTAGTTATTGTTAAAAATTGTCCAATAGGTAACTTAAAAAAACAGGATTGTGAAAATTCATAAATGTCTTTAAACATGATAGTAAGATAAAATTAGATATTCTATTCTTTGGATACCTTTTAATTATTCCTTTTTCTATCGAGTAGCTGCAATTTTCTGTTTCATATTTTTTTTTTCATATTTAAAAACAAATGTAAGTGGTTTATACAATTTGTTTATTTGACTTTTTTCTTTTCGCCAGGGTTTTTAAGTCTTTAAACATTTTGCGTTTTACACATTAATATGAACGAAAAAAATTCTAAGACAAATAGTAGACAATTTAACTCGAGTACAGTTTTTACAGTCACACATAAAACCAACTTGGTCTTATAAATAGTTAAATTATATATAAGATCTTTAGAAATTATTTTAGTTTTTAGTTAAAAAAATTGGTTGAATATTTTTTTTGTAAATTCTGTCGAAAATAATGATTTTTTATTTTATTTTCAGAACAATACTTAGGCCCACAGTAACTGAACCCAGATATACTTAACTTGTTGATAACAATAACAAGTATGTTAAAAAAACATAATATTTTACCTTTATTTAACTATGATTATCAAATTTAGCGTTGCTGTTTTTTGAAAAAACTGTGACCTATACCCATGTCGTTTTTGAAATCAACAATTCAATTAATACAATTTGATGTTATATGTGATTATATGATGAATTAATGGTATAATTTTTGCATTACTAAAATATAGAACTATAAAAATAAACAGTCTTTAATATAATCTTTTATTTTCATCTTTTTCAATATAATTATAATTTTTATTATTTTTTTATGTATGGGTAATCAGCTTGTAATTTATGAATTTAGATACATTTAATTTTTGTTTTTTATTGTAGATTATTGCTTCATGATTTTTTTTTTTTTGTAATTTAAAAAAACATGGTTCCTGCTCCTTTTACTCCATCGACGATTGTAATTTTTTTCCCGTTGATCTCGAGTGAACCTCCACGCCATTTTATGAAAAATATGTCTTTTGGTTTAGTATCCGGTATTAGTTTGCCATCGATGAAGACTTGATCGCCTTTAAATTCTACGGTTATACCACCTTGGTTAAAAAATGCGTCTCCTGAAAAGTATTCAATAAATAACATTTGATTTATAAGGCATGGTAATAATAATTCCACGCCGTGGCCAAATTAGACTTACTTAAGTTGCCATTTTTATGAAAGTACACACTTCTTCTACTATTCCGGCTACGAGACGTTACTTCAGTGTCATCATCTGATGAGGAATCATCATCGTCTTCATAAATACATAATTCTTCATCATCATCTTCTTCTTCTTCGTTATCATCATCATCGTCGTCATCTTCTTCTTCTTTATCATCATCATCATCATCTTCTTCTTCTTCTTTTTTATCATCATCATCATCATCTTCTTCTTCTTTATCATCATCATCATCAACATCTTCTTCGCTTATTGGACTATCTTCGCTTTGTGTATCATTTGATTTACTGGACTCGCTGTCATCATCATCAGACAACACTGCTGTAGTACTGGCTGAAATGTCAATAACAAAAATCTCAAAAACAATATAGCCATCACTCAATTATAAAAAAAACATATTAGTTTAATTAAATTATTTATATCTTCGATGTGGGGCTGAGTATGTATCGGTTAAAAAATGGTTCTTTTTACGTTAGACACGTTATAATATGTTGGAAATAATACTATAGCCATTTATTAGTTGGTTTTTTTACAACACTATATACATTTCTTAGTCGACCAGTTAACATTTTCTGTTAGTCTCAACAAAAAGTTAACAAGACAATGCTGGGTTTTTTTATGCCCCACAATTGATGATGTATGCTGTTTAAACTGTTTTTTTGTACTTTTTATATTTATATTAGTAATTTTTATTGAGTTTTAATACTGTTTTTATAGATAGAAAAATCAATTAAACACTTTGTATTTTAGAACAAACGCTGTGGTAATTAAGTAGTTTTTTTTGCATTATTATGTACACCCTATCGACCAGTTCAAACTGCCAGTAGATTATTTTCAAAAAAAGTTTTTGACATACAGAGATAGAATTTTTTCATTTAAGTGAAATACATTAACTTTTTAGTAAAAATGTTTCTAATCTAACAATAAAAATAAAACTAGTCCTAAATAAAAATTTTAATTATATTATTCATAGTTAAATTTAACTTAAAAATATTAAATAGGACTAAAGTCTACGTATTTATAACAATTGTTTAGCGTTTTGTCCAATTTTTCAACAAAAATAAACAAATAATAGCATTTAAACTAACAAACTGTGTATGACTTGTTTTCAAAGCAGAACTTTTTTTAAAATTAAATATAGATTTAAAATTAAAACATTTTTATCATGAGAATTTTTTTTTGTTTCTCCCAAATCTTCTTAGTTAATAAAAATGAATTATATTATCTTAATCAATGGAGTATGACAAAGAAAAATATTAACCACAAATAACAATGAATAAATATTAATCTTGATTGAAAAAATTAATCCTTATTAATTAATAGTTAAATTTACTATGTTTAAAAAAGTTAGTAATAGTTAAAATAGCCATTATTAAATATAACGTTAATTTAATCATTATTTGAATAGTTATTTATGGTTATAATATGATTAGACTGCTATTATTCAAAAACAGTTATTAATACAATATAATAAATACTGCAATTTGTTTTTTTTATTTTCAATATAATAATTTAACACTAAAAATAATCATGTAACACAGGTTAGATTACTGTGTAAAATTTGGTTTACATTTATACTTAAACGATTTTGCCATCTATAATTATTTCCTATACAAAATTATTCCCAAACTTAAGTTACATTTAATCCCATTATTCACGTTTGAATACTAATATTAAAATATCATCCTATGTGATTTAGTTTCAGTGATTCCAAAAGTTGCGATGTCACACTTATCCCCCTTTGCCCGAACACCACAGAATTACTAAAAAGCCTATTATCTCCAAGTCATGTACCACAACAGTTTACTGTGTAAAATTTGGTTTACGTTTATACCTAATAGATTTCGCTATCTATAAATTATTTCCCATCCAAGTTATTCCCAAACCCAATCATAATAATTACTAAAAAGCCTATTATCTCCACGTCACCAATTTTTTTTTAACCCCACTATACCCCGACCTCGTTGAGTTTTTTTTTTATACCAAATCTCTTATTTTATAGTTACCTTTTTTTGCTGGTTTATCACTGCCACTACACCTGAAAAGCCAACGTTTATATTTCAAATCAAAACGAATACACGAATACCTCTAGATTTTATAAAATAATTCCGACGGTTTTAAAAAAATAAATAGAAAAAGTACTTACGCCACGTATGCCGCCAGGCTAAGCAAAAGAATAATTTTTATAGCTACCATGTTAACAGATACTGTAAAATGCCGTTACTGTTAATATACTGTTGAGTTCGACTTTACTAGAATATTCAGTGGTTTTTTGTAGGTTTTGTTATAGCGCCATCGTCGACGGTTATGTCTAAAATTGATTTACACAAAATCGGGGGCACACAAATGGCTTGAAGTTCGTTTGCACAAATAAAATACATAAAGACAATAATATATAACTGTCTATAATAACGCCGACTTTAGCAATATAGCAATATTCGTATGTTTTTAACTAGTGTTTTTATTTAAAACATTTATTCATTTTTGTATGCAGGTAATTTTCATTTAAATGATTTTATGTAAGCATATTTTATTTAACAAAAACACGAACCACCTCTAAATTTGTGTTGTTTTTAGTTAATTTTGCAATAGCGAAGTAGTGTTTAAAGAATAACCTTTTAATCCTATTTTTCTTTATCAAAACACCTTTTACCGTAAAAAAAACCCTAACATTTTTTGGTCCTACAGAACCTAGGATCTGCAAATCTTAAGTGATTGACACTAGTACAGAGCAAAATTAAGATAATATAAGTTGGGGACATATGTATATTTCTTCTCGTTTATTTACAGCTTTCTTTAATGGTATAAGGTGATTGTCTCAACTTTGTTTGTTAAGCATTGAAAGAAAATTATTTATTAAGTTAAATTATACAAATTTTTGTTTAAGTGATTCTAAATAATTGGTTTATTCGTCACTGCTTTAGAGTTATAATTATTGTAATTGTTACCGTTTATTTTTAACAACAAGTACTGCACCGTTCGGTTTTTTCATTAAGTTTGACTTTGGACCGTGAAAAGTTGTATTGGTCTTAAACGTTTATTATTCACCGGCTGTACGTACCCCGCACCGCGAAGGCAACGCGCATCCGCGCTTTCCTTTCGGTAATGCACACTAAATTTTATAGATTATATAAACTATTATTATTATAGTAAACAATTGTTTGCCATAAGAATACCCTGATTTTCAAAATAAAAACAAACAGAAAAAGAGTGTTTTTCCGACTCGTTATAAACCTGATTACAAAATAATTTGAACAAAATGGGTGTATTTGAAAAAGCAAAAGTGGTCATCGCAAGTTTGCAAAGTCGAATGGAACGAGTGTACGAGGCGGGTGAGGCACTCGAAAAAGAACCTACAAAGCAAATGGCAAAAAGTAAATTTAAAATTATGTACGCGACATTTGGAAACTTGTTGAATGATTTTGAAACCCAGCTAGCAACTATTATACGCCACCAATGCAAAGCTACGACAGAGCCCGAAGAAAAGGTAAATACAGAAAAGATACGAGCTGACTTCGAAGAAAAAGTACGGACTTAATGTTATATTAGAAAATATAAAATATCAAAAACATTCCATTTAGATATATTATACATGAAAAGAATGAAGATGTTTATGTTTTTGAATAATTTTTGGCTTTAAGTAGCTCTACGGGGCTGAATGCTATGGACAATTTATAAATCTAAAAAAATTGTTGATAACATAATACTTTGCATATTAGAATATAATTTGGAGTTTAGAGATTATTTTCTGGTAAGGTTGAGCCTAACCCAACCCAATGTTAAGGATTATTAATAACAATAGTCATTTTTAATAGTAACTTTTATATTAGCAACCATAGCTTGATAATGAAAGCACCCGGACATACCATATTTTGCCAGTTTGTGTAATACCCATTTCAAAACTTATGAGTATCATCAAAACAAAATTTACAAAAAGTGAGATATCAACTTCTGCCATGCTACCACAGAAGTATGATCTGAGGTGTAAATCCCCACGGTATAATATTCAAGTATAAAAACATTGGAAGACTATAGATTAGACATGTTATATTTATACTGGCTTCAAGAAAATTGTTGTTAAGATATACAGGGTGATCCATCTGATGTAAGACACTCATTTTGTCAGAAAATATGAATATTTTGAAAATACATTTTTTCCTATACTTATAGATACATATTTTACAATGCTATTTTTCATTTTTTGTTTACATATAAAATATACAGAGTGATCCAATTGATGCAATATTTATGTACCTAATCAATTTTCTGATGTCTTTATCTTCTCAGGCTTATAGCGGTCCATTTAGGACCATTGTCGCTTCTAAAATGCTTTTCTGTAAATTGTAATTTTGTATTTTACACTAAATTATTTATGACTAATGTGTTTATGCACAAAATATAAATCTACATGTAATTATGTGATTTTTGTCTAATACAAGTGGTTTTTGAAAATGTTAAATGTATTGATTTTTTTTTTTTTGGTAATAGGTAGTTGATGATTTTTTAGATATTATATACAGTACCACTTTAAATATCCAAAGGGAATTCCCATACTATTTGAGATATACTGTTAAAAAATACTGTTAAAGAAACATTTACAGGTCAATTATCAAATCAGATAATTTGGGCTAATGAAATGTGTTATACTATATTTGAACTATTATTTTTAAGAAAAAAAAAGGCACATTTAAATGTAACTAATAGCATTAATAATTGTCATTCGAAAGTTTTACATACAATATACAACAAAAATGATCGTCTCAGAACTTTCCAATAATACTTTAAATGTTTTCTTAATCAAATATTTTGCTCTTTTTCAATAATACCATAAATTTAACATAATTTATTGTATTAAGGTGGTCCTTAATTTTTTTTTCCTTAAAACTTATTTAATAGCTTTACAATTTACTCATTTCTGCACGTTAAATATGACACATGTGTATCTTTATGGAGTATTTTTATCATAATCGAATATCTAACGAAACAAATAATAAAAGCAAATCATTTACTAAAATTTTGGTATAATAAATAATAAATAGGTAATAATTAGGAAAAAGTACTCAATTATATTTAACTATAGTATGTATCAAATTTATCAATATTTTTTCTTGAAAATTCAATGACCAACCTATTTTGTTTTTGAAATGACCAATTCAGTTATAAATTTGATGTTATATGTCATAATGTTATGAACTTGTGGTATAATTTTTAAATAATTAATATAGAAATACGATATTTAAAATATTCTTTTATTTTTATGTTTTTTTAATAAAACTATAATTATAAATTATTTTTTTACATAATCAGCTTGTAATTTTTGAATTTTGATACATTGAATTTGTATTTTATATTGTAGATTTATAGCTTCGTGAACGGTCAAAATTCCCAGATTCCTGATCCTTGTATTCCCTCGAAACCCGTTTTTGATATCCCGTTGACCTTGAGTTTACCAACATCCCATTCTATCACTAACGGCCTCTCCGTAGCATTAACTCCTTGGACTTCTTTGCCATCGACAAACAGTGTATCCCCCTGAGTGGCCACGGGCAAACCTTTTATGTTATAATATATTGGTCCTGTAACGTTTTAAATAAATAAAATGTAATATAAGCTATGATAGTAGCTCGACCTTAAAGCCGAATCAGACTCACCATAAATATATCCACTGTTATTAATCTGCACACTTCCTGGATGACCATAGTTAATAGCCGTCTGGACGTTTGTCGTGTTAGACCTGGATGAGTCCAATCCACTGACACCAACTTCTTGTTCTTGAGTGTTTGATTTAATCGGTTCTTGTGATTTCATAGGGGTCTGCTGTTCTACTTTATCGTGAAAAGTTTTTAATAAATAAAATGTCATAAAAGGTATGATAACACTTCGGCCACGAAGCCTAAGTACACTCATCTGTATTACCACTATCTTCGTTCAATGGTTCACTCGGTTCACCTGCCTGGGCTAAGCAGAACTCGCTGTCATCATCATCCGAAAACTCTACTGCTGTAATACCGTCTGAAATGTTAAGACTATAATCATAAAAACCATTTAACAATTACTCAATTACAATAATATATAACATAAACTTTTGGTTCAATTTAGCTCAAATTTTATTGTGTAAAAATATGTATGGTTCATACTTGATATTAAATCAATTTACCATCTGAACTAAGAAGATAACAGATTTAAAATGGTATGGTAATAGTAATTTTTTCTTTTATAGCAAATCTATAAGTTGAAGGATAAGTTCAAGAAATCATACCTAAAATGGGCATAACGTGGACAAAATGAAATAAAAAAATAATAAAGCCTATTATTATATCCACGTCACCAATAAGCTTTGATCCAATCATAACACGACCTCAATGAGTTTTTATATCAAATCTTTTATTTTATACATACCTCCTAGTAGAGGTTTATCGCCGCCACCACACCTGGAAAGCAAAACGTTTATACATAAAAAAAAAAATGAATACACGAAAGCTCTAGATTTTATGAAATATTTCTAAACGCTTTAAAAAATAAATGGAAGAAATACTTACGCCACGTATGCTGCCAAACTAAGCAAAAGAATAATTTTAATATTCATCATATTTTACTATTATTATATACTGTTTAATTCGAACAAGGTAGTACTAAACTGTACTAGAATATTAAATGTTTTTAGTATTTATAGGACCGAAGTCAATAAATATGTCTACAAAATAAATATATTAAGTGATGGAAATATTATGGTTTTCATTTTTTTTTGCACAAAAAAAAAAATGTATGTTTGTTTTTAAGACAAAATAACTGACTATAATAAAGTCCGTGTTAGTTATTTATAATCATCTTATAACAAATATTGTTTATTATAATTTGACATTGCAGTGTGAAATTATTATAATAAAATGATGTACCGCTTAGAGTTTTTAATATTTTTTTTAAATGAATTTGTAATTAGAAATCGTACCCACTAGGTACCTACTTTGAAAGGCCAAGAGAAATAAAAACCTTACTGCTTACTTAAATCGAAGATTTTGATACGTTGATAATTAATTTTCAATTGTAGGATAGTGTTATAATTTGACAGTAGTTAAATGGGTAGTTTTTGAGTGTGACTTCGCTAGAACACTGGCTACACTAATAAACCCTCCCTTTATGTTGTTGGGAATATATTTCCAAACGATTTTCTAACCTATTATTATAGAAAAATCGACAAATAATCGATTCAGGACTTTGTCAAAACACAAATATTATCTTCATTAACCCTTCACACATAGAAGGGGCGGAGTCTTTTTCTATATTTCTATTTTTTACACAACTTGTGGGGTCTCAAGGTCATATAATTAAACTGTGTTCAACGACTTGATAGCACTTGACAAAAAAAAGCTACATGAATAACATACAATAATAGAAAAATGAATGTCTTAAAAAGTCCTAATAAGGGTCTACCTGACTGATAGCTTAAGACCATGGCTGTAGGGTTAGACCAACTTGCAAACAAATGATCACAAAACATCTAACTAATATCTGAAACTAATATTCTATAGATGAGAACCTTTTGACTAGAATCTAAAAAAAAAATGATTATTCTATTGCTGGTTAAATAGTGTCAACAAGGCACCTTTTGTTTTTTTATATCATTGGACTATCAAAAGGGGTTTGTCTTCGTCTCAGGGTTACCATATCTACCTCAGATTATCTGGGAACATAACTATAATGAATATTAATATTAGTTTATAAAAATTGTTCATTATTCCCTAACAAACCGAGCCTGCCAAAATTTACAATTGTTCGTTAATGTTGTTTGTATATTTCTCAATGTATCAAAATCATTAGTGGGCGTTTGCAACCTATATGAATATTACAAGTGGAAAAATATGTACAATTTCTTGAGTCTTGATTATTAATGGTTCGAGGACCATTGTGTATACAAGTGTTCCACAATCTTTAGCGTTTAAAAATGTAATGACTTAAATTAAAGTTATGATGAATAAAAAACTGCCGTGCATACAAATAATAAACGAACACGTATGCGCTTTTACAACCATTAAAATGAATAATTGCTAGATACTCTTAAACGGTATATATGCGCGTGCTATGTCTAAAGGTAAAAATTCACACAAATTTGCAACTAATGTGTCGAGTGTGTGTATTATTATTTATTTCACTTACTCCCCTCGCCTGAACAAAATCGAAATAAGACACTGATACTGTTTTAGAAATGGTATTTCTACAGATGGGATTTTTTTTTTATCACTAAATTGATCGGTAAAAGTATGAAATAAATGTAATTAAACACTAAAAGTGCTACACTGAACAATTGTGTCAAGCCAAAATAAACACTTAGTTTCTAAGCCCACGATTGTTATCTTTTTGACTAGGTGACATTAATTTTCTAGATAAATATGGATGTTTTGAAAACAATTTTTCTAAGATACATTGTGCCACGTAAGGTACACACATTTTACTATATTTTTCAATACCAGACAATACTCAGAAAACTTATACCTCATTCGTAGTATGGGACTTCGTTTTTTCAAATGAAAATTAATGTTTAGAACTTCATAGACATGTAGACGAAAAATGTTACAATATCATTGTATTTTCTTTAACAAAAAACAAATATTTTAAAATACATTATTGTCAGTAGATACAATGTTTTTATCGATATTTGTAGTTTCTACCATTGCAGACTGAGGTCAGTTAAGAGACGATTGGTATATTTGAAGAGTGAAAGTGTCAAACGTTCCAAGTGCCAAAGTATAAAAATTGTACTTTATAATTTGATTTGTATTTTATTCATTACCGGAAACACTTAAACATATTTTTGAGTTTTAAATATGATTGTTTTTTTTATAAATAACTAATCTATTTTTTTATAATTAAAAGTTGCTATCAAAAAAACAATGTTGATAGGGGGGTAAAAACAAAAAAAATTGTGACAAATTGAGATCCCATTGTATAACAACAATATGAAAAAAAATGATTTTAATTTCTTATTAAACCCTATGAGATATTGAGATAAAATCAACGGTAATTTTGAACAGGTCAGTTGGGTAAATATTTTAATGTTATAAAAAAAAAATTACTTAATTACCATAAAACTTTCTAAAGTATAAAGTCTTTTTCATTATCAAGTATACAATACAAGGATTTTAAGTATGAAATAGTTCTTAGTATTGAGTGATGGCTACATCGTTTTTAAGATTATATTATTTACATTTCAGACGATTCTACAGTATTGTGTACGGATGCTGATGACAACGGGCTGGGTGAACCCAGTAATCCACTAAACGAAGATAAATCAATAAACGAAGATAGCGATGATGAAGTTTACTACGATACAGTTACGACTCTTAATAACACTGGTTTTGAAGGTGTACAGGATGAAAACACAGGCGGTGAGCAAAATATGCAAGTACAAGGTCTTGGTGGCAGTGGATTGCCCTCATCCAGGCCCAAAAAGAAAAACGTCCCAAAATTAAATAAACGTGGTACTGATACAGGCGGTGTGCACAATAGTAATAATACAGGTAAGTCTTATTTGACCTCGGGGTCAAAATGTTATTGTATCTGCTATTTGATCTATTGAAAACTTTCATGTACAAGGTCTTGGTGGCAGTGGATTGCCCTCGCCCAGTTCTAACGAGAACAACGTCCCAGGGTTAAATAACCGTGGTGCTCCAGGAAGTAGCATAGTTACTATCAGTAGTTTTACTTTGTTCGGTAAGTCTAATTCGGCCTTAGGGTCGAACTACTAACTCAGCATACATCACATTTTGTTTATTGTAAACATTTCAGGACATTCATATCATAAAATAGGTGATACATCCCTTTTCCTTCAAGGTGGTAAACTCCGGATCAACGGCAAAATAGTCGAAGGACTTAACGCAAGGAAGAGGCCAATAAGGCTAGAATGGGGTGATGGTGAACTCAAGGTCGACGGGGAAACCCATGACGAATTCAAAGGAATAGAAGGAACAGGAATATGTAATATTATATGACGTTCGTGAAGCTATAAATCTATAATGATAAAAAACTACTCAATGTATCTAAATTCAAAAATTATTAACTGATTATATAAAAAAATTATAAAAATTTTAATTATGTTAAAAAATATGAAAATAAAAGAATGTATTATATACCATATTTCATAGTTTTATATGCAAATATTATACTATAAAGTCTTAATATAACCACAAATAACATGAAATTTATAACTGAATTGATCATTAATTTAATAACGACATAGGTAGGTCACTGTTTTTTTCTAATAAATTAGATTTATAAATTTGATACTTTTATAATTTTATATTGTAGGTACAAGTATATATTTATAAAACATAAATATTCTATTTAGCCACTAAACAACACTACAACTATCGATGCTTCCTAGGTTTTGGTTTTTTACTGTTTTCAAGCATATATTAGAGCACACTCTTAGAAGAAGATGTAGTAATTGTATTATAATCGCTACAACCTAATTAATAGTCGTGCAAATGAGTACTAAGAACCTGTAAACAAATACAGGTCTAGGCGCAAGTTCTTAAAAGCTTTTTGAATAAAACTCCTCGTTTTTCAGTCTTATTTTTTACTCGGGAGATTATTAAAAAAAAACTTTAATACGGTCGATTAAAAATAAAGTTATAGAGTATGGTAATGTTAAGTTGAATGATATGTACATTTTTTGGGCGTTTTTCCCTTGTACCTTACAGTGTTTAAGCAGATACCGTGGGTATAGGAACATGACAAATAAAAAACACATCATTCTATTTTGATGTTCTTATAATATGTAGGTTTATATTTTGTGCATAAACACATTAATCATGCATAAGGTATTGTAAGACTGCAACAATTTTTTCTACCATGACATTTATTTTTTGTAGAATATCCTATAGATATCTGTTATTACTTGTTTACGTTGCTACAGGCGTTGAAAACAACTATTCTGCTATAGACGTGCAAAAAAATTGAACATTTGGTTTAATAAGAAACTGCTATAAGTCACTTTTGTGCGGCCTTCGAATTTCAAACTGAACATTTTCGTATAATAGCGTGAAAATATATGTATATTGTAAGCGTATAGTGTACTGTATTAAATATACATAGAAAATTTTTAAACTGAGAATAACTTGCTGGACATTTGGATATCCAGTTTTGAATGAACAGATTTAGAATTTTTAAAGTTTTAAAATTTAGGACGGCAGGAAGGGCCGAGAGTACAGTTATTTTTATATGCGTCCTTTACTTAACCGCACTCAACCTCCCCACACACTTAACTTTAAACTTAAACAAATTTATAAAAGTGGTTATCGACAATTCAAGACTTTCAGTAAATTAATCTCATTTTAAAAATTCAATTAAATTTATACTGTGTGATTTTGTATTATATTTGCCATAACGGCGTAATTCTACAAACAGCTAACAATTTTATCTGATACCAAGAATTTAATATCAAATAAAACCACCATTCTTGTACATAGAATAAATGGGTATCATTAAAATCCCGTTTGATTGTAACTTTAGAGCCATTGTCTAAAAATAAAGCACCTAAGGTAGTAAATCAGAGAGGTAATTTTTGGAATATGCTGTATATTTAATGTAAAAAATTGTCCCATAGGTAACTTTAATAAACAGGATTGTGAAAATACTTAAAAACTAAAACACTTAAATGTCTCTAAAATATGATAGAAAGATAAAATTAGATGTACAAGTCGTCGGGTGCCTTCATTATTCCTTGTTCTTTTAAGGAACTGCAGCATTCAATATCGTTAAACTATCAAATTTTAAAGAAACTTAAGTGATTTAAACAATCTGAATATTACACTTTGTGTTTTACACATTTTTGTGTATTAAAAAAAATACAAACTCAAATAGTAGACAATTTAATTCAATCTTGTAAATACAAATCAAAAGTAAGTAGTACAAAAAAATATATTCAACTATAAGACGTATCAAATTTAGCATTGCTGTTTTTTGAAAAAAATTTTAAGCATATAGGCAGGTGTTAAAAATTGTTATATGTGATTACATTATTAGGTAATGGTATAATTGTTGCATAACTAAAATATAGAACTATAAAAATATACGGTTTTTAATATATACTTTTATTTTCATATTTTTCAATATAATTATAATTTTTATTATTTTTTTATGTATAGGTAATCAGTTTGTAATTTATGAATTAAGATACATTGAATTTTTGTTTTTCATTGTAGATTATTGCTTCATGAATCTTTTTTTTTGTAATTTAAAAAAACATGGTTCCTGCTCCTTTTACTCCATCGACGATTGTAATTTTTTTCCCGTTGATCTCGAGTGAACCTCTACGCCATTTTATGAGAAATATGTCTTTTGGTTTATAATCTGGGATAAGTTTGCCATCGATGAAGACTTGATCGCCTTTAAATTCTACGGTTATACCACCTTGGTTATAAAATGCGTCTCCTGAAAAGTTTTCAATAAATAACATTTGATTTATAAGATATGATAATAATAATTGCACACCGAGGCCAAATTAGACTTACCTGTATTACCCTGGTTATTAAAGTACACATTTCTTCTATTGTTTTGACTACTACTCTGCGCACCTCTGTTACCACGCTTACCACGGTTAAACTGCCCATTTGTAACACCACTCTCATTATTAGACGTTACTTCAGTGTTTTCATCTGATGATGAATCATCATCTTCTTCGTCATCGTCTTCAAAAACATATAAATCTCCATCATCATCATCATCTTCTTCTTCTTCTTCTTCGTTATCATCAACATCTTCTTCGCTTATTGGACTATCTTCGCTTGGTGGGTCACTTGATTTACTGGACTCGCTGCCATCATCATCCGACAACACTGCTGAAGTACCGGCTGAAATGTCAATAACAAAAATCTTAAAAACGATATAGCCATCACTCAATTATAAAAAAACATATTAGTTTGATTAAATTATTTATATCTTCGATGTGGGGCTGAGGAGGTATCGGTTTTAAAACGGTTTGTTTTACTTTAGACCCGTTATAATATGTTGGAAATAATACTACAGCCATTTATTAGTTGGTTTTTTTTTTACAACTCTATACGTTTCCCAGTCAACCAGTTAATATGTTTTATTTTTATTGAGTTTTAATACTGTTTTTGTGCATAGAACAATAAATTAAACACTTTATAATTTAGAAAAAAATGCTATAGTAACTAAGAAGTTTTTTTTTCAACATTATGTATACCCCAATCGACCAGTTCAAACTGTACCAGTAGATCATTTTTTTGTAAAAGTTAACGACATGTAGAGTTACACATTTTTTATTTAAGCTAGCTACATTAACTTTTTAGTTAACATTATTATCTAATCTAATATTAAATAATTATATTAGTAATAAATAAAAAATTAACTGTTTTGCAGGTGTATATGAATAACGTTTTTAATGCCATTGCACAATTTAATAATATTATGTATAGTTTAATTTAACTTCAAAAACTTGAATAGGACTTAAGTGTACGCGTTTTAAAACAATTGTTTAGCGTTTTGTTCAACTTTCAACAAAAATATTAGTATTTAAACTAACAAGCTGTTGATATAGTAACAACTGTTAAATAAATAGAGATTTTTTTTTGTTTCTCTCAAATCTTCTTAATTAATACAAATTGATTATATTATCCTTATTAATCGAGTATTATAAAAAAAAATGTATTAACTACGAATAACAATGATTAAATGATGGTTGAAAAAGTTTAAAATAGTTAAAATAGTCATTATTAATTGTAATTAATAACGTTAATTTAATCATTATTCGTACGGTTATTTATGGTTATATTTAACGACTATTATTTAAAAAAATATTTAATACAATATAATATATTATTTAAATAAGCGCTACTCCGCCAACATGACGCAGCAATTTTTTATTTAAATTTTCAATATAATAATTTAACACTAAGTCATGTACCACAACAGTTTACTGTGTAAAATTTGGTTTACGTTTATACCTAATAGATTTCGCTATCTATAAATTATTTCCCAGCCAAGTTATTCCCAAACTCAATCATAATAATTACTAAAAAGCCTATTATTTCCACGTCACCAATTTTTTTTTAACCCCACTATACCCCGACCTTATTGAGTTTTTTTTTATACCAAATCTCTTATTTTATAGTTACCTCTTTTTGCTGGTTTGCCACTGCCACTACACCTGAAAAGCCAACGTTCATATTTAAAATAAAAATGAACACACGAAAACTCTAGATTTTATCAAATATTTCCGACGGTTTTAAAAAAATAAATAGAAAAAGTACTTACGCCACGTATGCTGCTAGGCTAAGCAAAAGAATAATTTTAATAGCTACCATGTTAACAGATACTGTAAATTGCCGTTACTGTTAATATACTGTTGAATTCGACTTTACTAATATATTCAGTGTTTTTTAGTAGGTTCTTATAGGGCAAAAGTCGACGGTTATGTCTACAATTGATTTACACAGAATCGGTGGCACACAGATGGTTGTAGAAGTTTGTTTGCACAAATAAAATACATAAAGACAATAATATATGACCGTCTATAATAACGCCGACTTAAGCAATATAGTAATATTCGTATTTTTTTAACTAGTGTTTTTATTTAAAACATTAATTCATTTTTGTATGCAGGTAATTTTCATATAAATCATTTTATTTAAGCATTTTTTATTGAACAAAAACGCGAATCACCTCTAGAATGTGTTTTAAAATTCTAAAAAACCTAATGAAATATAGTAGAACATATAAAATATTAAAAAATTTCCGTTTAACCAAATAATATAATATTTTCACGAGAAGTTTGTTCCATAAATTTATATATTATACATAAAAAGAATGAAGATGTTTATGCTTTTAAAATTTTTTGGCTTTATGCAGCTCTACGGGGGGTGAATACTATGGACAATTTATAAATCTGAGAAATTGTTGAAAACATATTATTTTGCATATTAGAATTTATTTTGGAGTTTAGAGATTATTTTCTGGTTAGATTGAGCCTAACCCAACCCAATGTTAATGATTATTAAAAATAGTAATTTTTTAATACTAGCTTCCATGTTGGCAACCATATCTTGACAACGAAAGCACCCAGACATATCATATTTTGCCAATTTGTGTAATACCTATTTCAAAACTTATGAGTATCATTAAACCAAAATGTACAAAAAGTGATATATCAGCTTATGCCATGCTACCACAGAAGTATGATCTGAGGTCTAATCCCCCACGGTATAACAAACAGGTATAAAAACATTGGAAGACTATAGGTTAGACATGTTACATTTAAACTGGCTTCAAGAAAGTTGTTGTTAAGATATCAGGTGATAAATCTAACTACAGTCACACACGGAAAATAAAAAAATTCTTTAACTCTAACTATATTACTTACAAGACAAGACAGTGATGTAACTAAACCGTTTTAATGGATCATAATAAATAATTAATGAGGGTACAGAATCACAGTTCAGATTTGTATTACATTGATCAAATAATTAAATCCGAAAATTTTTTTTTTTTTTTTATTACCTGATTAAACATTAACAAGACAACATTTTATTAAAATTTTTACACCAAAAAACCACTTTTATTTACTAAAATACGAAATCTTGACTACCGTATACCAATTCGCAATATCTTTTGTTATGTTGTCTTGGATTGGCTGAGCTGCTATTTACCAAGGAGTTATACGAAGTTGGGTCAAGTGGTCGTCGATGAAATCTGAGTAAGAATCCAATTTGGTCGCATAATACAAGTAGATACCATCTTGGGGACCTTCAGTAGCATAATATGCGTTTTTTATATTGGCTATGCTGTAGAACTGGTATACAGGGTCACAGGTGGACAGTAAAAACGTAGCTAAGGCTTCCACGCCCTTCTCGAGTAAATTGCTGAATTTCAAGCTTCCCGGCAGAATCCCGGAAAACACTACAGGGGTCTGTCCGGTATAAAGATCTTTGAGCACCGACAGTGTTTGGTAAAATAGATCTTGGACAGGGATCGTCGAGGATCACGTGATTGACGTACTGCAATGCGCGCATCAATTTCACCATGACCCACCTGCCTTTTTCGATACTCGCACCGAGTTTGGCCTTGCAATCTTTGGAGGTTTCTTCGTTCTGTAGCAACTGGTCACACGCGTGGATCGACTCGAGGGTCAGCAAGAGAAACCCTTGAAGTTTCAAGCCGTAAGAGCACGCCATCATCGGAGAGATCATTCGCAGCCTACTCATCGTGCCCACTGTGGAATCTCCACACCATATCTTATCTTTCGTCGTCCAATTCACAACCTTCACAACAGAATTCGCGAAACCACATCCGTTCCCAGAGTTGTTTTTTCTTGACGCTTCTCAGCAATATGACTTGATCTTTTGACGCTTTCTGGGCAAGCGTTTGTTCCGTCGAGTAAGCACGCCAAAACAAACGGAATGAAACATTCCGTTATAAACACATTGTTTTCCATCTCGAATCTTTCTCTGGATTTGAACGGTTACAAATTGACAGAGCCACACGAGCTAACCGTAGTCTATGTGAATAATCAAAATGTCTACAAATTTTCCATTTGTGCCACGTAGAAGGCAGCCAGGTTTCGCATGAACGCACTGACGTACACGTTGCTTCTTGCATAGAACACATGTAAATGTGTTGTCTATATTAATACTATCCAATGTTAGCGATTATTATTAACGATAGTCATTTTTTAATACTAGCTTCCATGTTAGCAATCATAGCTCGACAATGAAAGCACCCAGACATACCATATTTTGCAAATTTTTTGTAATACCTATTGTAAAACTTTGAGTATCACTAAACTGAAATGTACAAAAAGTGACACATCTGCTATGCTATCACAAAAGTATGATCAAAGGTCTTAATCCCACGGTGTAATATAAAAGTATTGGAAGACTATAGGTTAGACATGTTATATTAAACTGGCTTCAGAAAGTTGTTGTTAAGATAATAGGTGATTAATCTAACTTTTATACAGTCAAACACCAAAAAAAAAATCTTTACTTCTAACTATATTATTTAGAAGGCAAGACTGTGATGTAATTAAACCTTTTTTAAGGGCTCATAATAAATAATTATTGAGGTACAGAATCTTCTTAGTAACACGGAGCTAACACAGTGAACAACACACTTCAGATTTGTATTACATAATTCCCAAACTCTTTTTTAACTTAATTACCTCGTTAAACATTAACAAGACAAAAATACAATATATAAACATACTCGATATTATTTATATATAAAAAAACACTTGTAATTACTACAATACAAAACCTTGACTGTTGTATACCAATTTGCAATATGTATGTTTGTCTTGATTGACTGAGCTGTTTGTTACCGAGAACATATTTTGGAGATTATTTTTAAGTTAGATTGAGTTTAACCTAACCTAACCTAACAATATGTTAGCCATTGTTATTAACAATAGGTGTTTATTAATATTAGCTTCCATGTTAGCAATCATAGCTCGACAATGAAAGCACCCAGACATACCATATTTTGCAAATTTTTTGTAATACCTATTGTAAAACATTTCAGTATAACTAAACTGAAATGTACAAAAAGTGACACATCTGCTATGCTATCACAAAAGTATGATTTATAGTCTAAACCGCCCACAGTAAATAATACAAGTATAAAAACGTTGGAAAACTACTGGTTAGACACCCCACAAAGGGACAAACTATCAGAAAAAAACCAACTTTCAAGGTCCTATTACCAAAAGACTCGGTACTCGTTTACTTTGGAATTAGTTGACAAATTTCAAATAGCTTCAAGAAAGATGATGTTAGATATTGCCTATCTAAAACGCCTTAATCAACGCCACTCACGACGCCCAAACGAAACCAACAACTACACAGCAGAGTAGGTGTTACATTTTAAATACAGAACAACGTTAGTGAGTTTGGGTATGCAGCCTAATATTATTTCGTTCAACTAGTAATAAGAGATAATATATTTTAATATAAGACATAATAATATTATCTGATATTTTTTTTACCAGCAAAGGATAAATAGACATAGAATAATTCAGCGTGGTTTGTTAAAAACATAATATGAATCAGGGGCATTGTTCCAATACTAAAACGCACTAATGTGCAATAATTATTCGCAAACATTCTAAGCAAACTGTTTTTCTGCCTTCTGGCCAAACGTCAGGACGTATACAACAGTAATTCATCATAGCTCGGTGTAAAGGCACAATAATTATTATACTTGTGGTAGCTATAAAAACGCGTTTCCACACTGCCGGATCGGCCCAGCTGTCGCAGCAGCCCGCCTTAACATCACTCAAAGTAATAATTATTATTATTGCCGTTCAAATAAGATAATTCCCAGTAGCTCCCGTCCCAGAAGACATAACTTATAACGGAACAGTCGATTCGAATTTAATCATTATGTCTACATTTCTCACACGCACACCATTGCGGTTTAGTTTTCCAAGGAACCGATTGAAAATTGCGCTACAAGTAGTAAACGTTTTAAACTAAAAAAAAAAAAATTCCATTCCTTCTAATCAATATCAGCTACATTGACAACTACATCCTTCTTTGCATCAAATTTTAAATGTGATAAAATCATAAACTCATATATATTACCCATTTATAACTAGATTTCTAACCCAAAGAATTTCTACGTTTTCTACTCCAATCATCTGTACACATAAATTATGTATCTTTTTTTTGTATTGTAATGAGAGTTTTATACAAGAGTGATACTAGTATAAAGACAATATGAACAGCTAACATATTATACTTGCTTGTATGTCGAGTAAACAGAAGGACTAAAACCAGTATGACCAAATGTCTTCATTGTTCGGGGGTTGGTACTCTATACGATAAAATAAGTTTTTATCTTAACTATAAGAGATAAAGTGTTCATTCTAAGCTCATTGGAAAGATCTTGTCAAGAAGATACAAAGTATAAATTATTTATAGTCTTAAAAAGTTTGTCAATTTTAGCTACATTTTTTTTTGACCACGTAGATCTCTGAAACCGATGAACAGAATTGGTTATATTATCAGCCGATTTCACCAACTTTTATTAAGGATTTAACTTCTTGTTAATTATATTCAACAATAAGTCAGTGAAAATTGGGTTTTGTCGAGATTTGTTAGCCTTAACACAGCCTTAAGGTGCATTACTAATTGAGATTTTATTATAACACTATAGCACTTATCACTTATCAGTTATCACATTTCGCGATAGCCAATGAGAACGTTGGAATCGAGGTAACCGCTTTGGTAACCCGACTAAAGTTTTGTTAACTCAACAAATAGAATTTAATAATAATATTGTTTAATTATGATTGTCTTAGTTAATTTAAACAGATGTGAAATTTAAACGAATTGTTAACTGACATTTTGTTGAGAGTGTATATTTTAATAATAGTTGGTGAAACCGGCTGAAGGAAGATGA